GCACGATCCTCAAGCACTATATAAAAGAACACATCCCTGGCATCCCTTTAGACATGCATCTCTGCTGGCTACTGGGTGCTGCAAACGTAAGCTGTGCAGTTTTCTGATTGGTTGTTTGATTACATTCTAATACAGCGGTTCTCAACCTGTGTAACCTCAGGACCTACATTTTTCCTCGGTCAGGAAGTCACGACCCAAGTCGCACTGCAATGGAACGCACGGCAGTGTGGGCTGCTGTGCTGTGATGGAGCTCCATCCCATATGTGCATTGCCTGTGCAGCTCACATGTGCGCCTGTAGAGGTGCCGGGAGCCAGAATGTAATGTCACTCCAGTCCAGGGACCTCTACAGGACACGCGAGGGAGCTTTAATCAATGCACGTATGGAGGGAGCTCCTTCGCAGCCATAACCCCACCTCAAGTCAACACTCAGCGATGGGCAGCATATTTTGAATGATTGCTTGGTGTAAGAATGGACAGCGCTGCGCTAGGAGGGGGCTGAGAAACCTCTCACCTAGAAAATTGGTAGGCATGTGGCGACCCACTGAACACGCGATCGCGACCCACTTTTGGGTCACGACCCACCAGTTGAGAACCAAGGGTCTAATACCGGGGTAGCCAAACTCTGGCCCTCCAGCTGTGGTGGAACTACAAATCCCATGAGGCATTGCAAGATTCTCACAGCCACATACATGACTCCCGGAGAGAGATGCATCATGGAATTTGTAGTTTCCCCACAGCTGGAGGGCCGGAGTTTGGTTACCCCTGCTCTAATAGAATGTGTTCATGCAGCTAATCAGCAGGTTGCACAGCTAAAGTCTGCAGCACCCAGTGGCCAGCAGGGATTCCTGTCTAAAGGGATGCTGGGCATGTGTTTTTATATAACGCTTGAGGTAGCGTGCTGTGATGTTTACAGTGCCAGCCTGCTGGCCATGTGTTCTCTCAGTGCTTGGGAACAGCAGTACAGTGATTGACACCAGCCCTAAAGATCACTCCCACACAGGATGAAGAAGAGCAAAAATGATTAATGGCGGAGAAAGCCAATACCTGTGAGAGGTGGACCAGCGATAGTACGGATCGGGAAGAGAATTGATTGAAGTTGTTCAGCCAGAAAATTATTTGAGCAGCAGTTTTACTTTATACATGTTTACTTTGCGGTTTTTAATCTTTGGGAGCTGCGGCAATAATGGCCCTCCGTGTTTTCACGCACGTCCCACTTTAGAGAGACCTCCTCAGGTTCAGACAAAGCAGAGGTAACATTTCCCATACAGAGCCTGATGGAAGAGCTAGCACGGTGATCTGTGATGACCATTGTTGGGGAGCAGGGGGTGTCATGAAGGGGTACGGCTCGTGTTCATTGTTGATGGCTCCTGTTCTATCTGTGCAGGTTGCAAGATCTGGAGATCCAGTATAAGAAGGAGAAGGAGGAAGCCGACCTGACGCTGGAGCAGCAGAGACTGGTAAGACGGCACCCTCTGCCAATAACACGGCTTGTATGATAAATCATTTTGGTTGTGTGGGAACCGGTCACGGAGAAATATTACCTGTGCGCACAATCTCAGATGGCAGCTGGGGTTCTCCTCGCGCATTGGCTGGGATGAAAAATGTCCCTTGCATCCAATCTTGCCCTGGTGTCCTGGCACTAGTATCCAAGTCAGAGCATGCTTCCATGCAAGGCATCACACACTGGTGTTTTTGGTTTATGACCGATTCCCTTCCACATTTTAGTCAAAGGCCAACTCCATCCAGACCTTAGACTTTGAGGAACTATTTCTGTCAAGTCTCAGAGAACATGCACATAGGAGCCCCACCTGTGGCCTCCCTGCTCTGTCGGAGTTCACCCTATGAAGGTCTGAATCGTCTTGCCTCTGATTAAAGGAGAACTATGGGGTCAGTGTTTTTCCCCATAGTTCTCCTCAGGGTAACGGGAGGACACAAACTAGCGTCCTCCCGTTACCCTAAGCTCAGTATATAGGGAGCTGCAGCTCGCGGTATACTGAGACGCCGGAGCGGATCCTGACGTAGATGACGGGATCCGCCCAGCTGCGTGAGTGACAGCTGGCTCTGCCTATCTAGAGCTGTACCCGCCCCCTCCCCCGTCCGTTCCGCCAGTCAGCGCTGGAGGATCGTAGCGGGGAGGTGGGAATCTCCTCAGGATCGAGAAGTGAGCGAACGCCGGTATGTGTTCGCTCACCTCCCGATCTACTGAGCCGACCTGTGACAGTCTCATTGTCACAGGTCGGCTAGAACTATGAGGTGAGTGAAAAGCACCCCCCCCATAGTTCTCCTTTAAGTCACACTCTGAAAGCATGTACATTTCTTTTTGGTGCCTTTGGAAATGCAGGGCTTTCCAATGGTGACTAAGATGCAGAGGAGTGGCAATCTCCTTTAAATGCTGAGCTCTTCAGTGTACACCATTGATCTTGTCCAGCTGTCACATGGACAGCAAATGAGGTGACATCTTCACAAATACATCATGGACAACAACAACAAAAAGACGTGTTTCCTCATTCCAAGACTAAGTTGCGGTTGGAGTTGGCCTTTGAATATCTGTGGATCAGGGGGTAGCAAACCTCCGGCCCTCCAGCTGTGGGTGAAACTACAAATCCCATGATGCATCTCTCTCCGGGAGTCATGTTTGTGGCTGTGAGAATCTTGCAATTCCTCATGGGATTTGTAGTTCCACCACAGCTGGCGGGCCGGAGGTTTGCTACCCCTGCTGTAGATGATGTATGGGGGACGTGGGGGAATCTCCAAGCGATGCCTGCACCTGAGCACCCAGCCATCAGGATCTTGTAGAGAGCTTGGCAGCATCAACCTTTTCTTCCAAGATCAGGGGAGTGATTGTCACGGGGACAGGAAGGCGCAGACGGTGAAAATAACCCCACAGAGAGGTATTCTGTTGGAGTCTGTGTTCTCACTGGACAGACTTCCCGTCAGTTCCTGTCCCAACAGGAAGTGAGGGAAAATCTCTCTGAGACAGTAAAATGTTGTCATTGATTCTTTCCCTTCCCCATTCCGTCCAAAACTTAGTGACATTAAACCCTCAATTTTTTAACATAAACCAATACTGTAATGTGCGCCTTACTGTAATCCATGGTTGTTTCCCTTCTCTTTGCTGCTCTTCCTTTTAAATCCTCATGTCTTCTCATGCTGGGGCAGAACTTCTGTTTTGCAGCAGACTGCCTTGTCTCTGAAATGGCTACACGGTGTCTGTGTATAGGTTTGTATAGGTTCACAACCTGAGCCAGCACTACAGGAAGAAGCCCTGAGCTGCAAAGGGAAGTTCTCCCCAAGCATGAGAAGACATGAGGATTTAAAAGGAAGAGCAGCAAAGAGAAGGGAAACTACCATGGATTACAGTAAGGCGCACATTGCAGTATTGGTTTATGTTAAGAAATCTGAGGGTTTAATGTCACTTTAAAGAATTCTCAATGGAGAATTGCGCAACTGAGTTCCTGGAGCTGAGGCAAATTTGGCTCAGTCTCCTGACAATGATTCTGGGATTGATTTGCATGCCTTGCAGTCTATATTGTTCTTTGTGTGTCAGCATCTCATTGGCTCACATTTCTTGTTTGAGCAGTACGGGGATTCGGACAGCGGCGACGACTCCGACAAGCGTTCCTGCGAGGAAAGCTGGCGCCTCATCTCCTCCCTCCGGGAGAAAGTCCCTCCGGGCAAGGTGCAGTGCATCGTACGACGCTGCGGGCTCCCCAGCAGCGGGAAGAGACGGGAACCCATCAGGGTGTACCAGATCCCCCAGCGGCGGCGGCTGGGCAAAGACCCGCGGTTCCTGACCCTGGCGGATCTGAAAATGCAGGCGGTGAAAGAGATCTGCTACGAGGTGGCACTCAACGACTTCAAGCACAGCAGACAGGAGATCGAGGCCCTGGCCGTCATCAAGATGAAGGAGCTCTGCAGGACGTATGGCCAGAAGGACGAGAAGGAGGGCTGGAAGGTCGTGGCCCGGGATGTCTGGGACACTGTCGGGGTGGGAGATGAGGATTCCGGGAGCAAAGGCGGGGTGCAGGATCTGAAGGCGCACATCGACAAACTGACCGACATCTTGCAGGAGGTGAAGATGCAGAACAATATGAAGGACGAGGAGATCCGGGCTCTGAGGGACCGCATGGTGAAGATGGAGAGGGTCATACCAGTCACACAGGTGAGAGAGAAGTTCTGTGTATGTTGGTTTATTTTTTCTTCTTTGGACTTGTGTTTTTACCTTTTTTTTAGGTTACACTCTTATCCAAATACCCCCTCCTCCCCCCTCCCCCCCCAGGACTGTTATCTTACTCAGAGCAAAGTCTAAAACTACCAAACTACTCACCAGCCCACTGACTCCCACCTCTCCATTGCTCATGCAACGCTCCATCCTTTGACAGAGCTAGTGCTAAATACCCAGTCCCTCTGGTGAGCATAGGACCTCCTCCCATGATGCAGTGCTTTGTCATAATTGCCAATCCGTGACTGTCCCCTGTGTACAAAACCAGCTCCATAAAGACATAGTGTGACCAGTTTGGTGAAGGACTTTTCCTGTTCCACCATGACTGTCCCCTGTGTGCCAAGCCAGCTCCATAAAGACATGGTGGGACCAGTTTGGTGAAGGCCCCTTTCTGTTCCACCATGACTGTCCCCTGTGTACAAAACCAGCTCCATAAAGACATTGTGTGTCCAGCTTGGTGAATACCCTTTCCTGTTCCACCATGACTGTCCCCTGTGTACAAAACCAGCTCCATAAAGACATGGTGTGACCAGTTTGGTGAAGGCCTTTTTCTGTACCACCATGACTGTCCAGTTTGGTGGATGAATTGGACTCTGAGCCAGGTCTTCTCATCCAACATCAGTACCTGACCTTGTAAATGGGCACACATTTTCACAGAGCCCCTCCAAAATCTTGTGGAAAGTCTTCCTAGAAGAGAGGAGGCTGTTCTAGCTACAAAAGAGGGCACAAGTCTAAATGAAGGCCGATGTTTTTTGTATTTTGATGTCCAACAACCTCATTCAGGGATGATCCGTGGCTGTCTACAACCTTCTCGGTGTAGCGTATCATCTAATGAGCTGTTTCTGTATACTTTGGTATGAGTTGTGTGACTTCATGTGAGTTGTTCTCCGTAGATGATGTATTTATGAACTCATCCTCTTCTATTCTGTCCTCCCAGGATGAGCCCGGAGAAGACTACTTGGAGGACCAGTCCTGGTGCTCCAGCGAGTCTCCGGAGAGTCTTCATAATTCCCCCAACAACTCTCCCAAGGCTGGCCGCGTTTCGCGCCTTATGGAAGACGACTCAACCTTCAGGCGGGGGAGGATGAGGTGGATAAAGCAGGAGCAAACCCGCTTCCAAAATCTGCAGCAGCAGCAGATAACCCGGGCCCTCCGCCGCCCGCCCGGAACGGGAAAATTCATTCCCCCGCTGGACTGCAAACTTCGCTTTCCCTTTAAGAGCAGCCCTCAGCACCGCTTCTCCTGGGCGCCGGGGACGACCTACGTGGTGGAAGAGCTGCACAATCCCTGGTCAGAAGAGAAACAACGAGGCGTGGAGGACGACGGCGAGAGGCGTAACGAACGCCCGCAGAGCCGCCAGGAAGACGGCGACCATCCAAGACAGAGACGGAACTCCTTGGACGGCGGCTCAAACAGGGGAAGGAGGCCCAACCATCGCAACAATCGCCAGAACGGCGAAGACGGCCAACAGTTTGCGAGGAGATCGCAGAGCAGGGAGGGCGAAGGAGAGGGGCAGCAAAAACGCCACCCGCCATCGCCTCAGGATCGCCCTTTCAAGTACCACCCTTACACTGCCCCGCCCAGGATGCGACGCCAGAACTCCGCCCCGGACTTGTGCGACATGGAGAGCCCCGTCTGAGAGGAAGGTCAGGAGAACGTCGCGGTGGACCGGCTCGCGGAGGGGAGCGGCAGAAAGGAACAAGTTATGTGGAGAACGGACGAGAATGTTGAGAAGAGAAAGACGAAGGAAAGTGATTTTTACATTGCGAATCATGCGCACAGATAATTCGGAAGGTCAGAAGATGAAGGCTCGGGGGAGGGGGGTTATTGTGAACTTTTTGAAGTGTTTGTTTTAAGTTTTAATTTCTTTTTATTTTATTTTTTATTGTTGAATTTAACAACCGCTCGTGGTTTTCATTGGCCACGGGCTGCCATGTTTCCTGGCAAGGCCGTAACGAAGGCGTCTCTGGACTCCTCCATCATGAAAGCCTGTGACTGTCATTTCAGAAGACGACGGCCCATTGCCTTAATCTGACAAGCTGCCAAATTTATTGAATTAAAGCCCCGTCATCCCATTGGCCATGGCTGCAATTTTCAAAGCAGTCTGGAGGAAGTGATGAAAGTGGTAGAAAAGGAAGAGAATAAGAAAGGGAGGGCCAGGGGGTAATGCAAAATCCTGCCAGGGGTTGTACTTCTAAAACCAGGGTCAGGGTGGGGGCGGTGCTTCAGCATTCTAGAAGGTTCAGGCATGTGTTAGGTGGCAGGGTTAGGACAGGGATTTTTGCAGGGTAAGAAAATGGAGATGCAGCACGCTGGCCATTGTGCACCAATGCAAGGCAGGAGCAATCACAGCATGCCGGCCATTGTACACCAAATCACGGTAGAAGGATTCACAGCACCCCGGCCATTGTGCACCAAGGCAATGCGGGAGGATTCACAGCACGCCGGCCATTGTGCACCAAGGCAATGCGGGAGGATTCACAGCACGCCGGCCATTGTGCACCAAGGCAATGCGGGAGGATTCACAGCACGCCGGCCATTGTGCACCAAGGCAATGCGGGAGGATTCACAGCACGCCGGCCATTGTGCACCAAGGCACGGCAGGAGGATTTACATTGTTTTCTATGGGGCCCCTCCACACCTATGTGCATCTTAGAAAAAGGTGGCGGTGGCTCATTTAGTGCATTTTTGGCCCCCCGTAGGCTTCAATGTGAATGTGTTTTTAGTGCATTCTTGCCTCCTGGTAATATAAACAGCACATATTGCTTGCCATTGGCCACACAGTGTGTAATAGAGTCCTTGGAGCCACAGACTGGTCAGATAGGTATGCCAAGGGATGCAGAAAGGTAAAGGAAGCTTCAGGGTCGCTTGTACTGTACAGATATATGTATATACACACACAGGTATATATAGTCCAGTGGTATATATATGTATACACAGATGTACATAGATTTCTGTATATGTGCATGTACGTGGCATGGGAAAATATTGTTGCACTGTCACAACGATGAAGTATAAATGACAGGCCGGCGTTTAACTGCCCCCCGCTGGCCGCTTGTGCTTGGCGCGGCCCGATTCGCTCGGACGCACACTGCCGTGATTTCATTTCTTATAATCTCCAACACTAATTTAGCTAGCAGCAGCCGCCATATCGATTTATTGTAACTCGGGACCCCTAGGAAGGGTACAGAGTCACAGGTTTTGTCCTTGTGGCCCTTAGCGGGGGCCACGCCAGCTTCTCACCGTCTGTACTGGTGTGAAAGATGAATTGAGCTTTGAAAATGCTCCAAACGAGCAGCAATCCCAGAATCCTTTGCTTCATACTGTTGGCATTATGTGGCACAGCGTAGATTTGCACTGTCTGAAGTGAGTTACTTGTGTATAACCTATTTATCATTTTTGTTACATTGTCAGTACAAAATTAGGGGTTTGTGACCCTCCCCCACCCGCCGAATATGTTACCGATACACTGCAATGCGGAATGGGGATTTCAGAGCAGTTTATAGCGATGGGAAGGCAGTGTGCGCGCCCTGCTGGAAATTGTGAGTGCAATGATCAGCCGAGACTGTCTTACCAAACTGTATGGAATAAATCACCCATTGCTGAGCCGCCGCGGTATTGTCTGTTCCTTCACTTTACAGGGTGGTAACACCGACAGAAGGGAGCTATGAGTCTGTCCTCCTCCTGCAGGGTGATACAGACAGAAGGGAGCTACGAGTCTCTTCCTCCTGCAGGGTGATACATAGAAGGGGGCTATGCGTCTGTCCTCCTCCTGCAGGGTGATACATAGAAGGGAGCTATGAGTCTGTCCTCCTCCTGCAGGGTGATACAGACAGAAGGGAGCTATGAGTCTCCTCCTGCAGGGTGATACATAGAAGGGAGCTATGAGTCTGTCCTCCTCCTGCAGGGTGATACAGATAGAAGGGAGCTATGAGTCTGTCCTCCTCCTGCAGGGTGATACAGACAGAAGGGGAGGGGCCATGACGCCATGCATTCGTAGTATGTACTCGGTGTTTGGGATGAAAGACACTGGGCCCCCGAGGACATCTTGTGGTGAAAATGAATGCTCTAAATTTAAGGTGAGCATTGCATCATGTCCTTTCCTGCACACCCAACAGGAAGTGAGTGATCTCCAGACAGTACAAGCAAAGTTCCAGCCTCTTTGGGAAGTGAGAGAGCTATGCAGGAACGTATGGTCAGGTAGGTAACCTGGTGGGGGGCTGACTTCACTGCCACTGACCACCAATGCTGGGGATCACTATTGCGGCTGCTGACATCAATGCGGGGGGATATTGTTGTGGCCAATGACACCAATGCTGAGGACTATTAATACAGCCACCAATCCCAGGGGGTTACTATTACTGCCACCAACGATGGGACTTTATTTTATTCCCGCTTTCTTGTCTCTGTGTTCCTGAATGCTGCAATAAATTGATGTGTTGTACCTCAATGCACTAACACATGCCGCTGCCCTCTTGAAGTATGAAGGGCCACACTGGAGGTCCTCTATCATTTTCAAGTTGAACTTCCTGTGTTTCTTTCACGCTTGAGAAGTCCATCTTCACCACATGGACCATGACGGAGCACTGACCAAGCCATGGATAACTGTTGGAAGTTGGTCCTGGAGGTGCAGAGGACGACATGGAGGTCTCTCCCGGCATTCTCAATAATAGAGGGACTCGGAAAGTATTGAATCCGAGACAGCCAGGCAAGTACTATGTTTCAGAAAGACACCGTCATTGGACGTCTGTATCTTCTCCTCAGTATAGGTTTCCTTTAAAGGGGCCCATCCCCCACGGGGGGTAGGCTGATGTCTCCTCTCATTCCTTCTATTTCTTTGTAGTTTCAGCAAAGAGCTTCTTCATTCTGTTCCTGCACCCCTTCCCCCCCCTGGGGAATTCCCACATTTCAGTACTATTCCAGCCTATTGAAAGGATACTGCAACTTCCTGCCACCCGGAGAAGCGACATCACTTCAAATATGTGAGTCTCAGCCCTGGCCAGCACATGTGACTCTCAGACCTAACTAGTTGCTGAGCCATGTGACCCTCGGCTATATACAGCATTTGTGATTCTCAGCCCTGGCCAGCTGCTCATGGCACATGTAGGTCTTCCCAGCATGCACCTTGTTTACCTCAGTGGAATCAACTCGCACACTATCCACAGCCTAGAGTTGTAGGTCTTGGAAGACGCCTGACCCTCCTTCCATAGGAGAAAGCGTCCCTCCCTTAAAAGACCACCTAACCCTCGTTACATAGAGAGCAAGGGTCTCTCTTTTAGCAGACTGCCTGACCCTCTTTACACAAGAAGCAACTGCCCCCCTTTAGAAGACCGCCCGACCCCCTACTTCATAGGAAGCAACTGTCCCCATAGAAGACCGCCCGACCCCCTACTACATAGGAAGCAACTGTCCCCATAGAAGACCGCCCGACCCCTACTACATAGGAAGCAACTGTCCCCATAGAAGACCGCCCGACCCCTACTACAGAGGAAGCAACTGTCCCCATAGAAGACCGCCTGACTCTCATTACATAGGAAGCAACTGTCCCCCTTTAGAAGACCGCCCAACCCCCTACTACATAGGAAGCAACTGTCCCCATAGAAGACCGCGCGACCCCTACTACATAGGAAGCAACTGTCCCCATAGAAGACCGCCCGACCCCTACTACAGAGGAAGCAACTGTCCCCATAGAAGACCGCCTGACTCTCATTACATAGGAAGCAACTGTCCCCCTTTAGAAGACCGCCCGACCCCCTACTTCATAGGAAGCAACTGTCCCCATAGAAGACCGCCCGACCCCCTACTACATAGGAAGCAACTGTCCCCCTTTAGAAGACCGCCTGACCCCTACTAAATAGGAAGCAACTGTCCCCCTTTAGAAGACCGCCCGAGTCTCATCACACTCAGAACCAGGTGCTCCATGAGATAAGTGGGTGCAGCGGGTGGCTTCCTTTACGGTGCCGGTGTCCATCCTTTACTGTCCCCCTTTAGAAGACCGCCCGACCCTCATTACATAGGAAGCAACGGTCTCCTTTTAGAAGGACCAACCCCTGTTAAGAAGCTAGTTTTCCCCCTGAGATATTTTTATCCTTTCAGTTGACAAGTAAAATACAAATATCGGGCACATAACGTTCAGTCACATGGGAGGAGGGTGAAGGTTCTGTATTACACTTCTATAGACGGATACAATATACGGAATGTCATCACTTCCTAGAATATAAAATCCACCTGGAAACTGCTGACACGAGCCATGTTTATGACGGCGACATATATACAGCAACTGTACACACGGACTATTTACACGGATGTTTACACAGAAGAAGCGAATGAGTGAACACGGACTATGTGATCCTCGTAGACCCCACACATGTGCAGGCGTGTCGGTATTTGGGTTACATGGCTTTGAGATGTTCATTTAGAGAGCCGGTGCTGTATATTGAGGCGGGATAATATATTCACACATGTATGTACATGTTGTCATAAAAGTCTTAGGGGTAGCACATGTGGACACACACACATGCAAGTAGCATCCTCCCTGTGGTTCGTGAACAGCTTTCTGAGGCTGGTCCCTGTTTTATGTGGACCTCTAATCCGCCATCTTGTCAGCTTTGTAGGAACACCATGGTGAGGAGACCTGTGGAGGGCATACAAGAAATCATGAGAGACAGGAACAGAAAGAACACTGGGGACGGGACCCGGGAGAGCCAGGGCCATGGGGACGGGACCCGGGAGAGACAGGGCCATGGGGACGGGACCTGGGCACTGTCTCTTCCAGGGAGGAAGCTCTGGAGAGACAGGATCATAGGGAGGAAACTCTGTAGAGACGGGATCATAGAGAGGAAGCTCCGGAGAGCCAGGTACACACAGAGGAACAGAGCGGACGCTTTGGAGAGAGAAGATCATAAAGAAGAGGGTCTGAAAAGATGGGATGGAGGAGAGAGGGCCATGGGGACGGGACCCGGGAGAGAGGGCCATGGGGACGGGACCCGGGAGAGCCAGGGCCATGGGGACGGGACCCGGGAGAGACAGGGCCATGGGGACGGGACCTGGGCACTGTCTCTTCCAGGGAGGAAGCTCTGGAGAGACAGGATCATAGGGAGGAAACTCTGTAGAGACGGGATCATAGAGAGGAAGCTCCGGAGAGCCAGGTACACACAGAGGAACAGAGCGGACGCTTTGGAGAGAGAAGATCATAAAGAAGAGGGTCTGAAAAGATGGGATGGCAGAAAGAAGACCCTGAAGAAACCCGGATCATAGAGACGGGGCTCTGGAGAGGCGGGATCATAGAGATGGGGCTCTGGAGAGGGAGGATCACAGGGAGAAATCTCTGCAGAGATGGGATCTTAAAGATGGAACTTTGGGGAGAGATGATCAGAGATGGGAATCTGAAAGGACAGGATCATAGAGATGAAGCTCTGGGGATGGGATTATAGATAGTAAGACCTGGAGAGATAGGGAGAAGGCTTTGAAGAAATGGGATAACAGGAAGGATGCTCCTGATAGGAAAGGGTAATAGATGGCTCTGGAGAGACCGCATAACAAGAATGGTCAAATCCAGAGAGAAGGGATCATGCAGAGGGGAGTAATATGGGATCACAGAAGAAGGCTCGGGAGAGGTGCAATCATAGAGAAGAATCCCTAGGGAGAGATAGGATTACAGAGAGGACTCTGTGGAGGAGAGATACATTGTACAGAGAAGGCTCTGGAGAGATGAGACCATAGAGAGGACACTTTGGAGAAAGGAAGCTCTTGAGATGGGATCATACAGGGGAGGTTCTGGAGAAAAGAAATCATAGAGAGGACTCTATGTAGGGATGGTATCATATAAAGAAGAATGCTCTGAAGAGATGGGGATAGAGGAGGCTATGGAGAGGAGATCATGAAGAGGAGGCTAACCAGAGATAGCTCAAAGACAGAAGGCTATGGAGAGATGTGATGACAGCGTGGAGAATGTGGAAGGATGGGATCATAGAGAGGAGAAGGTGGAAGGATGGGATCATAGAGAGGAGAAGGTGGAAGGATGGGATCATAGAGAGGAGCACGTGGAAGGATGGGATCATAGAGGAGAACGTGGAAGGATGGGATCATAGAGAGGAGAACGTGGAAGGATGGGATCATAGAGAGGAGAAGGTGGAAGGATGGGATCATAGAGAGGAGCACGTGGAAGGATGGGATCATAGAGGAGAACGTGGAAGGATGGGATCATAGAGAGGAGAAGGTGGAAGGATGGGATCATAGAGAGGAGCACGTGGAAGGATGGGATCATAGAGGAGAACGTGGAAGGATGGGATCATAGAGAGGAGAAGGTGGAAGGATGGGATCATAGAGAGGAGCACGTGGAAGGATGGGATCATAGAGGAGAACGTGGAAGGATGGGATCATAGAGAGGAGAAGGTGGAAGGATGGGATCATAGAGAGGAGCACGTGGAAGGATGGGATCATAGAGGAGAACGTGGAAGGATGGGATCATAGAGAGGAGAAGGTGGAAGGATGGGATCATAGAGAGGAGCACGTGGAAGGATGGGATCATAGAGGAGAACGTGGAAGGATGGGATCATAGAGAGGAGAAGGTGGAAGGATGGGATCATAGAGAGGAGCACGTGGAAGGATGGGATCATAGAGGAGAACGTGGAAGGATGGGATCATAGAGAGGAGAAGGTGGAAGGATGGGATCATAGAGAGGAGCACGTGGAAGGATGGGATCATAGAGGAGAACGTGGAAGGATGGGATCATAGAGAGGAGAAGGTGGAAGGATGGGATCATAGAGAGGAGCACGTGGAAGGATGGGATCATAGAGGAGAACGTGGAAGGATGGGATCATAGAGAGGAGAAGGTGGAAGGATGGGATCATAGAGAGGAGCACGTGGAAGGATGGGATCATAGAGGAGAACGTGGAAGGATGGGATCATAGAGAGGAGAAGGTGGAAGGATGGGATCATAGAGAGGAGCACGTGGAAGGATGGGATCATAGAGGAGAACGTGGAAGGATGGGATCATAGAGAGGAGAAGGTGGAAGGATGGGATCATAGAGAGGAGCACGTGGAAGGATGGGATCATAGAGGAGAACGTGGAAGGATGGGATCATAGAGAGGAGAAGGTGGAAGGATGGGATCATAGAGAGGAGCACGTGGAAGGATGGGATCATAGAGGAGAACGTGGAAGGATGGGATCATAGAGAGGAGAAGGTGGAAGGATGGGATCATAGAGAGGAGCACGTGGAAGGATGGGATCATAGAGGAGAACGTGGAAGGATGGGATCATAGAGAGGAGAAGGTGGAAGGATGGGATCATAGAGAGGAGCACGTGGAAGGATGGGATCATAGAGGAGAACGTGGAAGGATGGGATCATAGAGAGGAGAAGGTGGAAGGATGGGATCATAGAGAGGAGAAGGTGGAAGGATATAAAGATCGGCTACTGTACCTAACACGTAAGCTGCAACAAGTTTCTGGACGACGGACACGTGGAGGTTCTCATGGAGGACGCTCCGGGGGTCTCCATGTAATGGAAGCATCAGGACCACCAGAGACACCAACCCCACCAGAACGTACAACCCGAACAGACCGGGGGACAGCGGGGGTGGGACTCCTGCGGAGAGACGTGTACAGAGTTATACTGGAGCTCCCTCTTCTCTGCTCTGACCATACAAATGGATTCCTCCTACCGCGGCGCACGGAGAAGACCTGGGATGGCGGGTGCCACTGGGGCGCCTCACTGATGGCTCTCTCTCTAGACTGGGGTCTGGTGGGATGTAACGTGACTGGAATGTCCTTCCTCCCTCCCACTCCTCGTCCTCCTCCGCCTTCTTCCCAAATCTCCACCCGAAACTTGTCTCTGCTGCCGTAATGCCGAGCCCGGATATCGCGGTGCCGAGTGACTCTGCAGGAGGAGGAACAGTGACAACGGAGGGGGTTCAATATTCTGTCTGTGCTTGTAACTACACCGCGGTATATGTCAGAGCTACATCCATGTATAATAATAGTGTGTGACTGCGGGGGGAGGGGACATTAGAGTGTAAGCTCCTCTGTCCAGAGGCTGATGTGACTGTGGGGGAGGGGACATTAGAGTGTCAGCTCCTCTGTACAGAGGCTGATGGGACTGCGGGGGGAGGGGACATTAGAGTGTCAGCTCCTCTGTACAGAGGCTGATGGGACTGCGGGGGGAGGGGACATTAGAGTGTCAGCTCCTCTGTACAGAGGCTGATGGGACTGCGGGGGGAGGGGACATTAGAGTGTCAGCTCCTCTGTACAGAGGCTGATGGGACTGCGGGGGGAGGGGACATTAGAGTGTCAGCTCCTCTGTACAGAGGCTGATGGGACTGCGGGGGGAGGGGACATTAGAGTGTCAGCTCCTCTGTACAGAGGCTGATGGGACTGCGGGGGGAGGGGACATTAGAGTGTCAGCTCCTCTGTACAGAGGCTGATGGGACTGCGGGGGGAGGGGACATTAGAGTGTCAGCTCCTCTGTACAGAGGCTGATGGGACTGCGGGGGGAGGGGACATTAGAGTGTCAGCTCCTCTGTACAGAGGCTGATGGGACTGCGGGGGGAGGGGACATTAGAGTGTCAGCTCCTCTGTACAGAGGCTGATGGGACTGCGGGGGGAGGGGACATTAGAGTGTCAGCTCCTCTGTACAGAGGCTGATGGGACTGCGGGGGGAGGGGACATTAGAGTGTCAGCTCCTCTGTACAGAGGCTGATGGGACTGCGGGGGGAGGGGACATTAGAGTGTCAGCTCCTCTGTACAGAGGCTGATGGGACTGCGGGGGGAGGGGACATTAGAGTGTCAGCTCCTCTGTACAGAGGCTGATGGGACTGCGGGGGGAGGGGACATTAGAGTGTCAGCTCCTCTGTACAGAGGCTGATGGGACTGCGGGGGGAGGGGACATTAGAGTGTCAGCTCCTCTGTACAGAGGCTGATGGGACTGCGGGGGGAGGGGACATTAGAGTGTCAGCTCCTCTGTACAGAGGCTGATGGGACTGCGGGGGGAGGGGACATTAGAGTGTCAGCTCCTCTGTACAGAGGCTGATGGGACTGCGGGGGGAGGGGACATTAGAGTGTCAGCTCCTCTGTACAGAGGCTGATGGGACTGCGGGGGGAGGGGACATTAGAGTGTCAGCTCCTCTGTACAGAGGCTGATGGGACTGCGGGGGGAGGGGACATTAGAGTGTCAGCTCCTCTGTACAGAGGCTGATGGGACTGCGGGGGGAGGGGACATTAGAGTGTCAGCTCCTCTGTACAGAGGCTGATGGGACTGCGGGGGGAGGGGACATTAGAGTGTCAGCTCCTCTGTACAGAGGCTGATGGGACTGCGGGGGGAGGGGACATTAGAGTGTCAGCTCCTCTGTACAGAGGCTGATGGGACTGCGGGGGGAGGGGACATTAGAGTGTCAGCTCCTCTGTACAGAGGCTGATGGGACTGCGGGGGGAGGGGACATTAGAGTGTCAGCTCCTCTGTACAGAGGCTGATGGGACTGCGGGGGGAGGGGACATTAGAGTGTCAGCTCCTCTGTACAGAGGCTGATGGGACTGCGGGGGGAGGGGACATTAGAGTGTCAGCTCCTCTGTACAGAGGCTGATGGGACTGCGGGGGGAGGGGACATTAGAGTGTCAGCTCCTCTGTACAGAGGCTGATGGGACTGCGGGGGGAGGGGACATTAGAGTGTCAGCTCCTCTGTACAGAGGCTGATGGGACTGCGGGGGGAGGGGACATTAGAGTGTCAGCTCCTCTGTACAGAGGCTGATGGGACTGCGGGGGGAGGGGACATTAGAGTGTCAGCTCCTCTGTACAGAGGCTGATGGGACTGCGGGGGGAGGGGACATTAGAGTGTCAGCTCCTCTGTACAGAGGCTGATGGGACTGCGGGGGGAGGGGACATTAGAGTGTCAGCTCCTCTGTACAGAGGCTGATGGGACTGCGGGGGGAGGGGACATTAGAGTGTCAGCTCCTCTGTACAGAGGCTGATGGGACTGCGGGGGGAGGGGACATTAGAGTGTCAGCTCCTCTGTACAGAGGCTGATGGGACTGCGGGGGGAGGGGACATTAGAGTGTCAGCTCCTCTGTACAGAGGCTGATGGGACTGCGGGGGGAGGGGACATTAGAGTGTCAGCTCCTCTGTACAGAGGCTGATGGGACTGCGGGGGGAGGGGACATTAGAGTGTCAGCTCCTCTGTACAGAGGCTGATGGGACTGCGGGGGGAGGGGACATTAGAGTGTCAGCTCCTCTGTACAGAGGCTGATGGGACTGCGGGGGGAGGGGACATTAGAGTGTCAGCTCCTCTGTACAGAGGCTGATGGGACTGCGGGGGGAGGGGACATTAGAGTGTCAGCTCCTCTGTACAGAGACTGATGTGACTGTGGGGGGAGGAGGGGGGGCATTAGAGTGTAAGCTCCTCTGGTGCAGGAGTACAATGCTACCTGTACACTGCCATGGAACATGTCAGCGCTATATAAACACAGGACACCCATGATGGATCGGAATTGGAATGATTGGCACTCACATGTCAATGCAGGAATTTGGCTTGACCAGCCCTTCAGCATCCACCACCGTGTACCGCAGGGGGGCCGTGGAGAGAACTGCCAGGGACAAGGGAAGACACGGATCAGAGCATGGCATTATGGGAGCGTGGAGGACACATATGAGCAAAGCCTTAAAGGAAAACTCCATGTTTGTTAGAAATATAGATGATTGCTACAACCGGCCATTATATGGCCCTTTAATAGTATATACACTTCCTACAATAGCCGGCTGTAGTGACAGTGGGGCAAAAATCCAATGTTCTTAGTGTCATTTCTTGTCTGGTCACATGATCTTCACATATGATGGGCTGTAGTAATAACAGGTTCATTCATAAAGAGAGTGAATGGGGGCAATGCCACAATATGGCCAGCAGGTGGCGCTGAGGATCACAGGATATAATTAGTATAATACCACAATGTGGCCACCAGATGGCGCTGAGGATCACAGGATATAATTAGTGTAATACCACAATATGGCCAGCAGAGGGCACTGATGATCACAGGACATAATTAGTGTAATACCACAATATGGCCAGCAGAGGGCGCTGATGATCACAGGACATAATTAGTGTAATACCACAATATGGTCAGCAGGTGGCGCTGAGGATCACAGGATATAATTAGTGTAATACCACAATATGGCCACTAGATGGCGCTGAGGATCACAGGACATAATTAGTATAATACCAGAATATGGCCACCAGGTGGCGCTGAGGATCACAGGAAATGAATACATATGAGGAAGAAGAGATACAATGTAACAATCCTGGAGATCTCTGGAGGGAATCAGCTGATAAATGTAACTATTGGTAACAAGAAATAAACTTAAGACACAGATTAACCAATCAGGAAGCCCACAGCTGAATTGTGGCAACTGCTCTGGTCCTAAACC